TTCAGCAGCAAAATGTATTTTAACCACAAAAAGATGAGTATGTGTGTTAGGGTACGCTAGAAGCCGCTCTGCTACATGTGCGCCTTGCTGTGGTCCATCCCAGCTTTCTAACAAGCTGTCCCATGTGAGGACAGACTGCCTCCTTGTGGGAAACAACTGTATTTCTCCTCCTAAGTTCACTCATTCTGCTGACTATGGACGTCATACATGATGCCCACTGAAGAAGCTGAACTATCCCTTTAAAATACCAGCAACAACACCTTCCGACATCTGTCTGATCCTGTTTGGTGTCTCTTGGCTGTTGAACAAACCGTCACATCTGTACCATGTAAAAGGTGCATTTGATGCTAATTGTCTAACTCTGTATCGGTTACTGATGACTGTAAAGTATTGTTCTACTCTATTCTAATAGTCTGGCCAAACTAAACACAGCTTGCAAAAGATATTAGCTCAGATATTAGCACTGACAAGCAAATGAAGTGTTAGTACTGAGACGGTTCAGAAGCCTGTGCTCTATTTCAGGTCCATGTTTATGCACCACACTGTGAAACAGGCTGAAACACAAATATATATGTATAGATCTACAACATGATAATGAATGTTTGCTCAGGTCCAAGAAATGCCCTAAATGAGAAACTTGAGATCATTTTTGCATTAATGTTCCAGTGGTGTGATCATCTCAGGTACTTGTATGGAAGTGGGCAACACGCTGGTAAACGACTGATTTACAGCCACTAGCATCACATTTACTAGAGAGAGTGCAAGTTTAGAGATGAAGCAGGAAATCAGACACTCTGCTTTATCTTCACTTTCAGACTGTTATCGGTCATGTTGGACCTCCAAGCCTTCGACCTGCACTCTTCTGATCATCTGTCCAGATGTAAAGACCAGTACATACATAACTACAGTTTGATGCTTCTTATTTTAATTTAACTTAATTCTTCTCTGCAGTTTTTTTGCTTCTGCTTGGCACTCCTACATACATTTTTATTGACTTTTATATTTCAGCTATTTCTATATTTATATCTTGCACATCGGACCTCACTGTATATGTATTGTTGCACCGACCCACCAGAACTACTTCCTCGTATTGTGGAAACTCACCCTGGCAATAAATCTGATTCTGGTTCCGATCATGGTCCAATCTATGAAAGCAAGGGGGCCGGCCTTTGGTCATGATGAGCTTAAACGATGTGCAGGGTGTAAGGCTGGGCTACCTGCTCTGCATACGCTTCCTTCAGCTCCTGCGTCTCCAGGTCGTCCTGCAGCCGCTCCCCAGACGTGATGGGCTTCACTCCGGCCGTCCGGGCTGCTTGGCTCACTGCGTCAGAGATGGAGAGGAGGCTTCCAGCACCCTGTCCCGTCTGAACACACACAAACACAGTTAGACATGTGACACCTTCAAGTCATACCAAAAATCAAAGTTACAACAGATCGGAGTACCTTTCTGCGTTTTGCTGGCATGCCGTGCAGGTAGGCGTCGGACAGCGGCGGCTGAGCCTTCATCTTCCTCTGGGTCATCATGTCGCACCTGATGATAGGCACCCATTCCTACAACACACCCAGTTCGGATATTTACTAGGAGCCTCTTTTAAATAACCCTCCAGTGCAGCGGTGCAGGAAAACCCACAGAGGGACTCTTGCACATAACAGGGTTCCTACACATTTGAAATTTCAAAATTCCATACTTTTTCCAGACTTCTCGGTAAAAAAAAAAAAACTCAAATAGTGAACTTAGTTCACTTGATGTTGTGGGACTTGGTCTCATGCTGGGTTTAGCCAAAAACGCTGTGACTCTCAGTCAGAGGATGAGGTGACGAGACGACAGTGTTTTTTCTCCTGCATATGACTCCCAACCGCCGCCTCCCCCATGTTGGAAATGTCAGCCATGGATCTGTGATATGAACGCGTAGCCATGGATCTATGATATGAACGCGTAGCCATGGATCTATGATATGAACGTGTAGCCATGGATCTATGATATGAACGCGTAGCCATGGATCTACGATATGAACGCGTAGCCATGGATCTGTGATATGAACATGTAGCCATGGATCTGTTATATGAACGCGTAGCCATGGATCTGTGATATGAACACGTAGCCATGGATCTGTTATATGAACGCGTAGCCGACTGTGTGCTCACACAGAAACATCTTAGCTGCGCTGCTCAGGGCAAATAGATCCATTTCTTTTTTTTAGATATTCATAATTGTAGGTTTTAGAAAACAGAACAGTGGTAACAGTCTTGGAAACATGAATATTTTTCCATACAATAGTTTCCATTTTCCATACTTTCCATACTTGCGTAGGAACCCTGACATAAAGACTAACTAATCCTAGCTTTGGTTGAAATGCATGTCTGCACAGAGCAGCGGCTGGATTTGGTCCTCATCTCAGGAATCTCTCTATGGCCACTATGGACACAAGTGTAGCATCCAGAAACTCAACCTAAATCCTACACGAGATGTCATCTGATTTACTCTGCTATCCTGCCCTGCCCTCCTCCCCTCCAGAGCTCTGGATTGCTGGTTCTGTTTAACCCTGTGAGGCCTGTACCTGACCATGTTCAGGCTGTGTGATGACAGGTGTTGTAAACTGTACTATACAAATAAAACTGAATTTAAAAGTTACGTCAGCATCAGTGTGTTGCCACGAACCCTGTTTAATTCCACTGATAGTCAGAGGACGGTGGAAACGTGAAGCAAAGACTGTGGAGTCATGAGCAGGCCTCTGCTCTCACTGAAGCTCACTCTTAGAATCATTTCCATTCACCTTCACGAAAACTGCTGGATGACACTACGTCTGGTATGTCTGCGTCTTGACTCTGCAGTATTCTACCGACTGCATTTCAGTTGTAATCCAGCGTGGATTTAGCTGCTGCAAAGCTAAACAGCACTCGAATGGGCACAGTTTAAACACAATACAAAAGCAGAACCCAACGTCTTGAAGTAGCAGCAAATGGTTGACATTCAGAAGGTGCAAAAACCACTCATGTCCAGCTTATAAAGACGTAGTACTGACAGAGAAAGTTGAATGCGAGTGTTCACATGACCATTCTTGACTTGGCTGCAGCTGTTGATTATGTTCTACATGAATAGTTTCATTAGTTGTCAGAAAACAGTAAAATGTTCACAGCATCTTTGACGTTATTCACCCAAGCAGCTGGCCCATAATGCAGCTGACAGACTTGTGAACCAGTTGTTGCAAACCTAGTAAGAGCTACATGAAAACAAAAGGTGACTGTTGAACAGCCTGAGGGCTCTCACAGGAGGAACAGCAGCAGCCCAGGCCTCAGACTCTCCAGCAGACTCCTCACTCCCTCCCTCAGCTCCAGCTGCTGCCATGTCGCCACCCAGCGGCGCCGCTCCGCCCGAAGCTCCCAGGTCTCCTGGCAACACCCTCGTCTCCCGTGACGACGCCCGTGTGTCGTGTGACACTGACATGGCCTCCTCCGCTGTGGTGGCGGCAGCCGGTGAGAGGGTGTCCCCGATCTTTGGAGGAGGAGAGCAGGAAAATACGGGGACTTAGAGGAAAAGAGAAGCTGAAATGTCAGATGGAGTCCACGTAAACGCTCACACACGTCACGCTTACCGTCGCGCTTTGGGCTCGATCAGGCTCTTGGGTGCAAGTCGCAGAAGACTGATCTCTCTGTGAAAGAATGCCATCTAATATTTATTAGCTGTTTCGGACGGGCCGTCCACAGTAACGTGACACGTGACAGCCATCAGATAAGAGGGACCGCTCTGTCTGTAAGGAACATACATGTACATACACGTGCACTGTTTCCTGCAGGAACCCGACACAGAAACTAACGGAAACCAGGAACAGAAACAACATGTGGGGTCGATAAACGGATTTAAAATCTGAGTGAAACTAAAGACCGCATCACGTAACTGCAGTGTGTCCAATTAACCAGGTCTCACTGCAATTTGAGAAAAGTCATGAAAAATAATCAGTTGTTTCATGTAGATGGATGAGAATGTTTAAAATCTTCTTCTGTGACACTCAGCACGACTTCCAGCAGATGTTTCATGATTTGGAAGCACTTTAGCCCAATCTGACCAAACGGAGTGCTTTTAGTTTTAACTGACAAACAGCAAAGAAACACTTGGTGGTAACGTGGTTGCTGTTGGAACACAGGCATTGCTGCGTCTAAGAGCAGCACCACCAGGCGTCAGGATTAGGACTGGAACAAACTGATCTAGGAACTGTCACAGATGACTGGGATAATTCTGTACATCCATGTACATGAATCAATGGACTGTATGGAAAATGCAAAGTCATGTAAAGCCGCGGTCCATTACCTGAGTGTGCACGATGTAGCTCTGGATCTGCTCCTGCGTGATGGGGATGTGGTCCAGAATGACCTGCAGCCTCATGGTCATCATGCTGGTCATCCAGTTGACCAGACTGGGGCTGATGTCGCTGGACATTCTCCGCTGGAGAAACAACAACTGGTGTTAGCTCACAGCTATGGCTGCGGGTTCTCCTGGATTCTGAGCATCTTTGTGGCAACATCCCTCCTTTGAGCCGGTTTGATTTTTGATCTACTCATCTTTGATGTGGCCATCCTACTGCTGCACTCTGTACTTGGAATGTATAGTTTGGTCATTTTGAAGGACTTCAACTATGACGAGAAGCACTTGTTGACATCCTCTGTTTCATAATGACACTAAATATAAGCAATACTCTGACTTGGGGAAAAATGATGAGACGCTTTACTCCTTTCATCAACAACTAAACATGTTCTAAACAATACTGTTAAAGATGGAGAAAGGGGCCATAAAAGTTTACTGAGGGAGCTGCAAGATGAGTGGAATTAGCCTCAGCAGCTCCTGGATTAGTTCATGCTTAGTTTGATGCGTCAGTAAAGTCAGACTGAAAAAACTATTTATGAATTAAACGTCTCTACAAATTAAAACGCAAAGCCACAACAGCTGAGCCAAACTCTGAAAATGCAGGCAGCAGCTAACATGTATGAAAGCGTCAGCTAACGCTAATGCTAACGCAGCACAGCTGTGACGTAGCTGGAACGTTGCTGTCAGACGGAGGGAGGACGTCAGTTCCAGGAGTAACTACTGCCATCGAAATCATGTTGAACGACTGTCTTTATGTTTTCCAACCATTCAGCGCCTCTGCTCAGGCTGGACACAAAGACGACAACAGCAGTGGCCTGAAACTGCTTCGATGACATTTATCAGATTTTAAATGGAAAAATGACAACATAAAGTGACTAAACGTTGGGTTTAGCATTTGGTCAGACAATAATGAGCGGCTTTAGACATGACCTGCTCCCTTTCATCTCACTCTGTTTGGGACAAAATCAACCTTCTTCTGTACTGAAGCAGACTGGAAGCTCCGGACTGGGGACAGGAACTCATCAGAGACAAAACTGAGGTAACAGTACAGTTATTTTCTCATACACTTCTTTACACTCAGATTATTTTGAAACCAGACGATTCGCCCCCTGCTGGCTGTTACAAAGAATGCAGGCCCTTCTCCGTTGGCTTCAGACCCAAAGACTGTGTCCGTCTTTTACACACAGTCTACGACAGAGACAACGGGTTTCACTAAAGGCCATAACAACCAAAGACAAGTAAAACAGTTCTGAGTTTGTTGCCTGAAACTGGTTGGTATTGTCATGACTGAGATGAAATTCTAGATGGTTCCTGAGTTTACAGGCACTCTCCACTCACTATTCTGTGGTTGATGACTGCCGTTAGAGCCCTCTGGTCTCCTCTCAGGCAGTGCAGGTTCAGGGCGAGACACTCAAACAGGGCTTGGTTACACATCTGGAGCAACCGGAGCCCAAACGTGTCATCTGGATGAGAGGAAATATCAATGGAGCACCAAAAGCTTTCAAATGTTGCTCATTCACGTGACATGAGATCAGACTAGACAGAACTTTATTGATCATCAGTAGTCGTATGTAGATTATTAGGAGGAGAACAGCCCACACTTGAACGCTAATGGAGCAAAGTCAGGTTTACCAGTGCAGCGCAGAATATGTGCAGCGATGTGCATCAGCTGCTGCCTGAAGAAAGACATGTTGGTCTGAGTGATGTCGACGCCTTCCAGCACTGTGACTGAAGACTCTCTCTGTTTGGAGTGGAGAAGCAGATTACTGAATTACTGACAACACATTTACTGCCAAACTAGGCTGAAATAATCCACTGTAGCCTCAAAGACAGGTACCAACTACGGCCGGCTACAGCAGCTTCAAGAGTAGATGTATGTAATGGTATTGTAAATGTGTCGTAGTGCACAGAAGACATTCCTCGTTCGCTGTGCTTGTAGCAAAGGTTGTGCTGTGTCCATCGAGGTGCAGGACCTTATGTGACAGGAGCACATAATGCACAGAAACTGCTGAGAGCTCAGAGGGTTACAAGGACAAACCAAGAACAGCCAGATGTCTGTTGTTTTCCCACCTCATTCATGGTAGCGTGACTAAAGGCTGCAGCATTTAATCACATGCTTTTTGGTACCTGGCGATAACTTAGGAGCAGTGGACCTCAGTGACTTACAAAGCTCTCGGTGATGTACTCCTCCAGTTCATTTACAAGACTGTCAGCAGCAGCCTGTGGACAGAAAAACAAAAGAATGCACCAGTTATTGGTCAGGTACACAAAATATAGCAGACAAGTGATGGAGAACAGGACCAAGAACGAGAGTCAGATGGCTGCATCTAGTTCTAAATACACTTCAGTGTTTGGAGACTGACAATCCCCCAGAAGTTACCGACAGAATAACATTCATGGTGAGTGGTACTGACAGCAATGTTCTCATCGGTGGGCTCTCTGCCGTTGAGGTAGTTCTGGGTGAAGAACTGGGACAGCTGAGGCTGGATGCGGCCCAGAGGCTGGTGCTGGCCATGAAGCAGCATCACCAGGTCGGACATGGTGAACGTCTGGCACACCAACATCAGCAGCTCTCCAAAGAACCCTGGGAATCACAATTTAAATATATAATAACCTCATGGTCTGCTGTGTTGTTTGGTGACAGGTGGTACTCACCTGTAGGGTCCTCAGGGCTGATGAAGATGTTGGTTGCCTGAGACAACCTCTGCATGAACTGGGCAATGCTCTCTGTGTCGTTCTGAGCTTGGCCCAGAGAGCCCATCATGGTGGTCAGGACGCCCCGGACGATGCCGGTGAACAGCTCCGGGTTGAGGGCTTCGGCGGCAGCTGCTGCTGCTGCGGTGGGGTTGGGGGTTGGGTTGGGCCCTGCCCCGGGAGCAGGAGTGGTACCAGAGGGAGGAGGGGGTGGAGAAAAGATGGGTTGGGCCTGGAAATGAAAAAAACCAGGAGTGAGGCTCTGTGAAGATAATGTCAGCCTCTCTGCCCTCCAGAGGGAGACGTGGTGATGGCTTTCCTAACACTGGTACTAAACCTTATTTGTCTAAGACGGAGGGAGAAGACCTTTGGACAGATATATGCAGTTCTGCTGTACCGAGCTTTGCTATTTTCTCTGAAACAGTGTGTAGGGCTACGGTTAGGCAGGAAGTGTTTCAGCTGCGTGTCTGAGGGAACAGCAGGCTTTTGGGTTAATCTAGTACAGCTGGTGCAAGAAAAGCGTATTTTTACATTTCAAGTCTTATTTGTCCTCCATTTGACACCTCTGTCTGAGCCAGCTGTGTAAGGTAGAGATGTTGTACTACAGGTACCTGGGCGTCCACACTGACAGCAGACTGAACTGGAGGATCAACACCGAGGCTGTATACAAGAAGGGGATGAGCAGACTCTACTTCCTGAGGAAGCTGAGATCCTTCGGCGTGTGCAGCAACATGTGGAACATTTTTTATCAGTCTGTTGTTGCCAGTGTTCTCTGCTGTAGTCTGCTGGGGGAGGCAGCATCGGAGCCGGCGACACCAACAGCCTGAACAAACTGATCAGGAAGGCTGGCTCCGGTACCGGCTGCAAACCGGACACCATGGAGGCGGTGGTGGAGGGGAGGTCTCTGAACAAGCTGTTATCTGTTCTGGATCAGCCCGACCACCCTCTCCACCCCCTTCTGGACAGGCAGCGGAGCTCCTTCTCAAACAGACTGATTCAGCTCCGCTGTACAAGGACCGGTACCGGAACCCAGAGCAGTAACCCTGAACAACACAGAGCGTTCTCAGCTTTCTGCTCTGTAAAACCCTCTGTCTTTGCACTGTTTGTTCAATTTCCACATTTTGTACAGTTATTTCATTTATTTTATTTTAATTTCACTTTATTTTTTAAACAGTATTTAACTTTAGCTCTTTTCTGTTGTGATTGGTGTTTTTCTTGCTGCTGCTGTATGACAGTAATTTCCCAGGCCTGGGATAAAAAAAGTATTTTTCTATTCTATTCTATTCTTTTTGCAAGTAGGACAGTGCTGCAGGAGTCCGAAAGGTACGAGACTACAGTCGCTGTGTATCGGGCTCAGAACAGCCATTCAGTGTCCCTAGTTGTCCTCACGCTGTCTGTAGGTACGACTCCGAGCACAGGACTGTCTGCAGAGTGTGACACAGCAGATAGGCTGATAGTGACAGGCTGCATCACACTTCAGAGGTTCTTCTCTCTTTACCGTCTAAACTAATGGTACACGACACCCTACAGAACATAAAGATCAACATGTCAGAGGAAGACCACCTCACATAGTTTCACGGGAAAACAAATGGAAAGAAAACGAAGACTGCGTAGCAAACACTGGCTGTAATGCTCACAACAATTAGAGAAAAACACAACCAAAGGCTAAAAGAGTCTGAATGAGAAAATGCTTCGGGGATGTCATCAGCAAGAAGTGAAGGTGAGTTTTTAATGGGATGAATATCTGTAGTTCATGCTAGCGTGGCTGAAACAGGGTTTAACCTGTGAATATGGAGGACAGCCCTGATCAGTCTACGGTCATCACCATCGTCTGTTGCTCTGGCTCAAGCTGATGAGGAGAGCGAAGAAGTCCCACAACAGCTTTTATGGTCAGATCTATCAAATAAAATCATTCTGCTTAGATTATTATTAGAGGTAAGTCTATTTCAACACATTCTTGAAGAGTATATGCAGTTCCAGAAGTCTCTTTCTTCACACGAGCTGTGTGCAGGCTGCTCTACTCATGAAACTAACATGTCCATTCAGTAGCATCCACAGCCAGTCTCACTGACCTGCTGCATGAACTCAGTCACTCCCTGGATGAAGGCTGGGACCCCAGATGTAGTGACGGTTATTGAGGGGGCCCCTACAGGCCCTGCACCAGTTCCACCAGCTACCCCCAGCAGAGAACCCAGCAGCTGGCTGAGGTCTGGGGGCATCTCCTGTAACGGGGCCTCACTGGTGTTGGTCTCAGTTTGGTTCGGGGTAGCAGCAGGTGGAGGTGTTGGACCAGAGGTGGAGAAAGAAAAGGAGGAGGAGGAGGAAGAAGAGGAAGAGGAGGAGGATGTGGATGTGGAGGAGGAAGAGGATGGGACTGTTTGACCAGCTAGAAGAAAAAAAAGATTCATGTTTTATTTTCTAACTGTAATAATTAAAGAAGAAAGCTAAAGTCAAGATCAAAACGTACCATGTGGAAAGCTTACCCATTTGTCCTGGCAGCAGAAGCTGTCCAACCAGTCCACTGATCATCTGGTTGAGAGCAGCAGGGTTGAAAGCCTATGAGACAGATGTTTAGTGAACACTGACAATCAGCCTGAAGAAAAACAGGAAGCCAGTACCTGAGCGTTATTCCCACCTGTCCCGGCTGCTGGCCTGGCATGGCAGCCCTCACATTGATGGTGGTTCCCCGGGTGCTGAAGGCTGGAGGGGGCATGTTGGGCGCAAAGGGTGGTCGGCTGAACACAACCCTGGCCTGGGGCTGGGGTCCAGCATGGGGAGGTGGAGGGGGGGCAGTAGGGGTGGTGGTGGGTGTGTTGGGCCCCGTGGTAGTAGTTGAGGAGTTGGCTGTGGAGCTGTAACCAGGAGGGGTGGGCTGGGGCGGAACCGGCTGGCCAGTGGCAGCAGCAGTGGCGGCGCTGGTAGCTACAGCAGCAGCGTACTGGCTGATCTGCTGCATGAGGTTTCTCATGAAGTCAGGGGGAAGGGCACCTGGAAGGGGACACAGGAGAGCTAGTATGTTGAACTGAACTGTTGTAACCAGGAGAACCATCATGTGGACATTGGAAGGTTTCACACAGCTGCACTGGGATGTCGCATAGGAGTCAGTCCGTCTCAGATCATCGGGTGTTCTGCTCAGCCACCTCTGACCGGCCAAGTTTGTGTTTTACCATAAGCTATGAATACTTAAAATGATGCCCATGAGAATGTCAACTGATACATCAAGTCCTGTCTGGGATATCTTTAAAAAATGACCCATCAACCCACTGTCAGCACGTTTTTTCACACACTGACTTTACTCAGGAAACCGTATCTCAGAAACTGTCACAGATTAAAACCTGAAAATGGGCCGATATCCCCACATTCAACAAACGTGTTACTTAAATGGGAAAACCAGAACTCTGTTCTGCTTCGACTAGAATATCTAGCGATGCTGTGGTTTCTGTGCTAGCAGCTTGTCATATCTGCTCAGTCAACAAAACTTTGTTCCATTTTTGTGCTCATGTATTTCATCTGAACAGGGATTCCTGCTTCGTATTATGATGACATGCAGCGACATGGTTTAGAGAACATCACCAGCTGATTTCTGCAACATCAGTGTTCTTCTTATCCGTGACTTTCAACTTTCAATGTGAGAAAAGGTGCTGAAAGACGGTCGACAGGAGATTTGTAAAAGCTTTTATCTCAAAGTATTTGTTACATAAAGCTAAAACTTCACCATTATCAGAGATGGTCAAGCAGAAATTGTATTACAAATTAGACGATGAGAGATGAAATGACTCACAGCTGACTAAACATACTATCAGCCGGCCTTTACCTGGCTGTCCGGGCATTTGCTGTCCAGCTGCTGCAGGGTTTGGACTGGGACCTGAACATACACACAAACACACATGAAACACTCCTACAGTAACTGCCAGGACTTCACTCTCCACAAAAGCACATTGCAGCAGCATCAGAGCCGTCATTCAGCAAACACTGGGGAAACGTCTTGTAAATGCGCTGCCATTCTTTATTCCCTCAGCGAATGCTTGTGGCAGCAGTGCACAGAGGATGCACAATGCACTACCAGCAGCACTAGGAGGCACAAATGTTTGATGTATGGGAGCATTCAATCAGTGGCGGGTAGGGGACAACACACCGTCCGTGTTCATCTGCATCATGACCACCGGGACTGCCTGGTGGCTGATCCTGATGACCCGGGGGCCAGCCTGTCCCTGTCCAGCCTGCTGATTGGACGGGGTAGTCTGTGGGGGGGAGGTCTGTCCCTGACCTGCCTGCTCCGACTGGCTGGCCGGCTGGGTGGGCGGGGCTTGTCCTTCAGTGCTGTTAGCAGCAACAGTCACTGTGGCGCCCAGGTTCATCTGTGGGTGGAGGTGCAGGAACAGTCAGTGTGACTACAGCAGAGCTCTGCATGAATAGCTACAACCTGCCTGGAGTCACATACTTGCACTGGGATGTGGTGGTGCACCGCTCCAGGGAGAGTGACCGGGGTGGCGTAGTGGGAAAAAGGCCGGACCACGTGCAGGTGGCGTGGCACGGGGCTCATGAGGTTCAGTCGCAGGTCGCTGAGGGCCACTAGGGCGTTACCAAGGAGACGGAGACACTCCCATGTCAGGATGAGGGTTCGCTGGTCCTCCTCTCGCTCCTGTAACACAACAACACTAGCTTTGTGAACAACAGCCTTAAAAAAAAAGCATACTGTTAGTGCTACTTTAACTCCAGGAGCAACATTTTATTGTTTTCATTTTAGCTTCACTGCCCTCTGATGCATGCGTACAGGAGTTCAGGAGTGCATTAATTATAAAGGATATATATTCATTTAAAAGAATCCTACAGGAAATGATTGTAAAGGTCCATCTGATACCCTGCATTGTTGCCTTTGAACGATTTTGCATTGAACTGATGAAATATGTAGATTTTTGAAGTATGAACCTACACTGTTATGGGTATAACCCTACAGCAGCGCTGTTAGTAGCTCTGACACAAGGCTCTGAGGCTCTGGCTGTTTCCTGTTTCTTATTTTTGTTTGATGCCTTTTTGTTCATTTTGTCACAAATCTGATTAAGGACACCAGTGAACAAAGCTGTGCTGATCAGATGCTTGCAATGGGGAGTATTTCTGGTTTTAAACTACAGAGAGGAGCAACAAAACGCAGCTGCAGTTCACTGCATGTGTAATAGTTTTAATGTGACTGTGAAGCAGTGGCAGCCCTAATCAATACCCAACACTTGAATAAAAAGCATTGTTTTTGGACTTACGATTGCCTGACACTTTATAATTCAGCTGTTTGAATCCTACTGTATTATTGTTGTATTCTGCGGTGGTGGCTGTCTCCAGGATGGTGTGAGCTCTCTGGATGAATGGCTGCAGCCGCTCCTCCACCCTACGCAGCTCAGACAACATCTCTGCTAGCTCAGCTGGGCTGGGGTGGCTGGAGCAGGACAGAAAGGCAAAACTAGTCACAATCAAACACAGCCACATCCTGATGGTGAAACAGAGACACGGCATCACTCGGTATCAGGACAGAAACATGCACCTCATAGTAGTTCACACATTAAATACACATTTCTATGAGAGTAAACTCCTCTAATCTGCTGCAGATCAGGAACTATCTGCAGGAACTCTATGCTAAATCATTTTCTGTTCTTTTCTGTATCTCTCGGTTGAACCATCAGTCATGAGGCACAAGAGTGAGAATTTGTCTCACTTGGGTCCAGGTTGTGGTGTTGGTCCCTCCGACTGTGCTGATGAAGAGGGTGGAGGTGGGGGAGTTGTTGGAGGTGGGGAGGTGTCCATGGGCTGAGCAGAAGGAGAGGGAGTAGAGGTGGTAGACGAAGACGAGGGAGGAGGAGGAGCAGCAGCGGCAGACGCCGTCTCGGTCTGGGAGGCCGGCTCACTCGGCCGACTCTGAAAGCAGACAGGAGGCAGCAGGCAGCTCGGTCCTGATCGCTGAGGACTTCTGTGGGTTCTGCTGTTACAGTCATGTGAAGGTGCAACTCTCACCTCCATCCTGTGGATGACATCATTGACGTCTCTCAGCAGGTTCTCAGCGAGCACCAGCCTCAGCCTGGGCTCACTCTGCACCGGTTGGTCCATATCAATGTGCACATTCACAGACCCGTTGCTCTGCAACAGAAAAGGTGACAACGAACGAAACACTTCACCGTAATGTGGGCTGTTTAAAATGAGCAGGAACAGTATCTTACCCCGGTGCTGGTTGTGACTCTGGCATTCCTGGCATTCTCTCCCATCCCAGACACCATCTGCTGGACTGACATCTACATCAGAGGAATGAGGAACACACTTGAGGAACTTTTGGAGACAATGCTAAGCATCCAAACTAGAACTGGGCCATCGGACCATCCTACACAGTGGACAATTCTAATTTGGCATATTCTGCTTTCAGAGAAATGCTACTGATCGTGTTACCAAAAAAAGAAATAAATAACAGAACTGTCCAAACTGTCCTTTTCCACCTAAACGCACCTTGGCAGTGTCTCTGCTGTTATAAACAGAAGAATAGCGGCCAGCAGACCAGCGGCATGTGACCCTACATCATTACTGTTTATGCTAGCTGCACCAAGTCATTACGTGGGATTTTCTGTGGTGCCATGTATCTGTTGCATTCCTTTAATGATCCACCAGCAGTGGTGCCTGTGGAGACGCAGACGGCTGCATTCCTCTCCTCGATCCTCCTCTACATGCAAGCTATGTTTCTGCTTAACAGTGAATGTTCTTTTTACCTCGTGCAGTGAAATAAGCACATGTTGGCTTACTGAGTTGCTGTTTATCACCCTTTAGATAAATGCATGCTCCGGTAGATCAGAAATAATCAAGAAAGACTTCTGACATTAAAACAACAGTCCACTGACTCTGTGCTGCAGCCAAATGTTATTGTTGGACTCATGAGAAATAATAAGGTATAAATGAGTGCAGCAGAACCAGAGACGATGGGCTTTTATTTAATAAATTCCTCTATCTTGCCAAAAATCTTAAACTGAAAGAGATTTTGGTGCATTGTGCCCCATTTATGGCTCTCTGAACTGCGTGTTAACAGCTTTACAAACTCCCACTGCCCACATCTCTGAGACCACCAGTAGTGGGTGTTTGTGTTGCTCTTCTTTCTTTCCATCTCACTCTGGTTTCCCTTCAGAACTTTACTTGTTGGTGAACTATATGTGGGACATTTCATGTACTCAACTGACTGCAGCACTATCATTTCTCCCTGGAAATACCATCTAAAAATGTGTACCGTTGTGGCCGTACACAGCCATTGTCACAAATACAGCGATGCCCCTCAGGACCTGTAAACAGACTGATGTGACGTCCCAGTGGAGGCTTACCTGTATCTGCTGGGGGTCCATGATGTTTACAGGAAGGTTGAATGTGCCGAGCATTACGTAGCTGTTGGCGTTGCGATCATGTGGAGGCACTTGTGACGTTCCCTGGGAGGATGAGGACGGCCCGCTGTCGGCTGAAGTGCCTCCTGACCCAGAACCAGGCTGGGATGGTGGAGGTGGTGCCCGCTCCACAAGGTGGATCACCTTTCCTCCTACATCTGGGACCACAGAGAACTAAGGCTACACCTGCACCACTGCTGTTCTTTAATATATTTGTTAATGTTTTTGTCTTTATTAGACATAGGCGCTGAAGACGGGGGAAAGAGAGCAGGGAAAGAGAGCAGGGAAAGGCATGCAGTACCTGGTACACCTGCAGCATGTGGTTGCATCAACACACCATGTTTGACATTTTAGCACAAAGACACTATAGCTACAAGTATATTGTGGAAATATATGGTTTCTACATGCAACTCCCCGCTCTGCCTGGATGCAGTTTAGTGTCATATCCAGGACAGTGGACCCAACCTAAAACCAAGAAAAAGTGCACAGGTGGCCGTTACTACTCACTCTGTGACTGGCGAGTACGGCGGTGCCACAAAACTGAGTGAGCCCTTGAGCTACAAGGGTTTAGAACTTGAAGACTCCAACGGCAGTTGCCATTTAACTGGCGGATGAGAGCGGCAGCAGGCGGGCTGGCGTGGTTTAAGGCGGACCTTGACTGTAATCAAGTATTCCGGCAGTTCGCTGCAAGCACCCCAACCAAACTCAGCACATCTCCATCCTCCATGGTGCTGCTGGAGAAGGCAGGTGCCCAAGTGCGTGGGTCTCAGGTAGCAACCTGTGATCCACCTTAAACAAATTCACGCAAAGGCTATTTGTGCAAATGGCAAGATCTCGTCCCAAATGAAACTGTCTGTCTCTGAGCCAGCCTCCCCAGCATCGAGACTACGATGGCACGACTCCGCCTTCGCTGGGCAGGACACGTTAGGAGAATGCCCACAACTCGACTCCCCTACCAGATCCTGTTCTCACAACTTAAACATGGCACAAGATCCCGAGGAGCACCTAAGCGACAATTTCACGACCAACTGAAGGCCACTCTCCTTCGCTGCAACATTGACCATGCTAATTGGGAAACTCTCAACGAAGACCGCACGGGGTGGAGGCAATGCATCACTCGGGGGACAAGCCATATGGAAAACCTACGCCGTTGCGAGGAGGAAGCAAAGACACGGAGACGTAAAGAGCGGCTCCTCCAGCCGCGCTCTCCACCCACCCTGCCCTGCCCAAAATGCCCTCGACACTTCCATACAACTCTGGGCTTGGGCAGCCATATCAGACATTGCCACTCAAGAACAGCTACAACCAAATCTGAGGACGAGTTGAAACTGTCTCGGACACGACTGACACGAGCTACCGCCGATGGATGGACATGCAACTGCTAGCATGTGCGTGACACTCTGACTATGTGTGCTATCATGCTGACAGACGGCAAACCCAGACAAGTTCAGTACCCAGCACTGACTTCAGCTGTCAGCTGATTGACCAGTTGATAAGTTAAACATTAAGCTCTATAATGCCATATGCTTTCAAACATTCATTCTGGTGTCTCTAGGCAGCGCTCTCTCTCACCCCCAGAAGCCTTTACATCATCCCTCCAGCCAGCACTGGCTGCCCCGCTCCCTCCCTCTAAAAGGGGTTGCTGCGGCGTCACCAGTCATTTAAGTTCCTGTTCTTGCTTTACTCTGAAAGCTTTCTCTCCCCAGCAAATGTGAGTGCCTCGCTTACCAAAGCTACCTGCCACTCCTGCACGCGGCCACCACGCCCAGTAGCACAGGTACCGGTCACCACGCCCAGTAGCCCAGG